ACTGTTGACTAAATCTTTCAATATTTCAATACCAGGTTGGAACTCTAGTGGGAACGCAAGATTATTATTTTATTAATGATCAATTAGCCTAAACTTCACACAGCAAAACAGTTATAGACATTATTACTTATATGTAGGAGTATAATACAAGTTGCAATGCTTATTTACAATGCATTATATTATATTATATTATATTATATTATATTATATTATATTATATTATATTATATTATACAATCAATGAATCCCTAATAATGATAAATCACATCTGAAGTTAGTATTAATGTAATATTCATTAGTATAAATAAAAATATATTTTATATAATATAATATATAAAATATAATAATATAATAATTATAAATATAAATATATAATTATAAAATAATAAAAATTTAAATATAATAATTATAATTCTTATTAATATCATTGCTTTACATTACTTAAAATAATATTTATAAACACATTATGTCTATTAAATTATATGATAGTATATTATCCAGAATGTCTATATCCATGAATCCCTAATATTGATTAAAAAATACATAAAATTATTAATTAAATATTTAGTATTATATGCATTAAACATACAAATATATTCAAAAATAATATTAATAATTAATAATAACATTAATATTATTCACTTAATTAAAATCATCTTTATAAAGAATCTATATGTATAATCTACATTTAACTGCAGATCAAGAACCTCCATCCTACGATGGAGCAAACACAAGTAAACTCGACTCGAAATGGATGCCATGTTAGAATTCATGCTGCGACCGTAGATGAGATGAGCACAAAGCTTTGCGTGCAATCACTCATGAATTACTGAATGACATCCATGAACTTCTGCCATTAAAGCAGACAGAGAGAGGCGGTATACTTGATCAAACACTTGACCCTGTCAGGCACCAGGACCCCGAGAATCTTGCCCATATTTCATATCTTGCCCCTATCGACTCAAAGACGACACAAATATTACACGCTGCTCAAAGCTCTTTTTTCTGTTCCTGCGCATTTCCGTCACAAAAATGAGTTTGACCTTTCTACTCTAAACTGAGACTCAAGAGAATCGAGGTCCAAGCAGTGTGTCACTGAAGGGAAGAGGAAGAGGAGGATCAGGTAAGAATGAACTAAAGCAGGAGAACGAACTACCGGCTCACCTTTTCACACCCCATAATAAACTCACAGGACAGTATGAAAGAAAAGAAGAAAGACAAATAAAACAAGGCAAAACAAGAGAAGGGTAGAAAAAAAAAACAACCATGAAAAAAAAAACTCATGAAACAGGAGAGAAGATCATGCACGGTTGACATACAGGCAAAACCATCATATTGTGGGACTTGGGGGAATAGTATTTAGCATTGTGAAATTCAGTCTAAATTTAGGATGATTTACACACCAAAGTTTTTTTTTTAGTTTTTTTTTTATCTCTTCATTCCAAAAACGGCAAGTATAAACAACATTAATGGCGATTAGAGAAGTTATTTTCGTTGTTTTGGATACTAATTGATAAACGGACGATGTTACATTTTTTTTACTATTTTGTCTAAATAAGTTTAACAGGAATTTGAAGGATCAGCAGGCTGTTCCTTGGTTATAAATAAAAGCTTATAAAAGCTAATAATTAATTATTATAAAAATGTCAAAATCAATTCAAAATAAAACACTTAACACAATGTTTAAATATAAAAAAATAAATGTGTGTGAGAGTGTGTGATTATTTTTAAATATATTAAATATATAAAACCATCAACAGAGAACTGTGAATATGCATATGTGAGTTTATAAATTATTACAATATTAACTTAAAATACTTTGCGGTATACATTTTAGGCCAAAAGGGTTCAGCTGACAAAAAGGTTTGGGAAACCATAGTCAAAATAATTATGATAAATAACCAGTTAATATAAATACTACAAATAAATGAAGGCATCATAACAATATAATGTACGGTCCTAAAAATGTGTGTATATATATATATATATATATATAACTGATATGGTTCTTTTACAGTATACGGTCCATCTCTAATAATCTAATAGTGATGCTTGCATTCGAGAAATAATACATGATTTGAGGTAATTAATAAAGTAATTGAAGTTTCGTCAGCCACCCACAATATGGTTTGACTATTATGTTGGTCATCAACAATAAAAAAAAAAATTAATTTCTCGGCAGTTTATCATTTGAACTGAACTTCTCAGTAATTTATCAATTGAATGTACATTCCCAGAACCCAAACTCACCTGCTGTCTGTGTCCAACCCCACAAAGTCCTTCTTCTCAAACGGCACACACAGCAGTGTTATCTTATCGCCGGATTTATCGGTTGCCCTGTCCAGCCTTTTGGACTCCAGGACGATAAATATGGACTCGATGAAATCCTCCACCCTCTTCTCCACATCCGGACAGTCATCATAGCTGGGGTAGAAGGCCACATCCGTGCGCTGCTGTTCCGCCAGCTCCCCCTGCAGCCCGAACACCAGCAGCCGCGAGTCGTACAGCGTGGAGCCGAACACCTCCTTCTGCCCGTGGAAACGGTCTGACGTCTGGGGCCACTCTTTGGCCGCGGTGCAGCTGGTGACAGAGATGAGACCCACCACTTTGCGGTGGGTTTGAAAGTCGCCCCATTCGTTGTTCTCAGGGGGGTAATGGTGCCGGTATCGGATGAAAAGGACGCGCTGGGAGTCTCGAATGCTGACCTGACTCACGCTGACGATCCGCTTGTAGATGCGGAAGAACTGGTCCTCTGGGACGATCCCCACGGGCTGGACCACCACCAGAACTGTCTGATGGTCCTCAGCACACTGCATGTAGTCTGGGACACTCATGTCTGCATACAGGGAATCTAGAGAAGGAAAACAATCCACAAAACCATATTCTTTTACTACCGCAAGTTTCAAAAGACTTCTAAAATATCTAATCTACTGCAGGTATATATATATATATATATATATATATATACAGTATATACACTGCCATTCAAAAGTTTGGGATCTGAACGATTTTTTATGTTTTCAAAATAAATCTTTTCTGCTCACCAGGGATGCATTTATTTAATAAATAATAGAAAAAATGCAATATTGTGAAATATTATTACAATAAAAAAATATGTTTAATATTTATTTTTAAAAAAAAATGTCAGCATCATTACTCCAGTCTCACGTGATCCTTCGGAAATCACTCTAATATGATGATTCGATGCTCAAGAAATATTTTTTTTTATTATTATCAATAATGAAAACAGTTGTGTACAAAAAAAAAAATGCAGGATTTTTTGATGAATAGAGAGTTCAAAAGAACAACATTTATCGGAAATAGAAAGCTTTTGTAACATTATACACTCCCGTTAAAATAAATGAAAGAAATTAATAATGTTATTTAGCAAAAGTGACAGTAACGAAAATTAATCAAATAAATGCAACCTTGGTAAGCATAAGAGAGCACTTTTTAAAACATTAAAAAAAAAAAACTTACTGATCCCAAACTTTTGAACGGCAGTGTATGTATGTGTGTGTGTGTGTGTGTGTGTGTGTGTGTGTATATATATATATATATATATATATATATATATATTAGTATATACACACACCCATATATGTAGCTATATTAAATAATAATACTCTGATTTTAACTGAAAACTCTCCAATAAAAACTACATCTGCAAAAGTAACTAAAGCCGGGATTTGAGCATAATAGCTTAGTGGAATGATTGACAGTTCACAAACTCTAATTATTCATCAATTTTCCTCACATGAAATTAATTGAAACGAATTACCTCCAGGTTCACATTTGACAGAAATTACTGTGTAATCTTCATTTAAAACACTTGACACAACTAAGGACCTACTGAAGTAAGTCGAGTAATCTTAAACAGCACTGATAAATGAAAACAATATTGTTAAAATATGAAAGATATAAACAAGCCAGCAGGACAAACAGCAAAATGTTTCAGTCTCGAATTAAACCTTATTGAGTTCCTAATTGAATTCAATTTGTTTTATGAAACAATCGTAGGTTGTTATTCATTCAAAACGATATATTTTGCAACATATTTGTTTATTTTTGTGTTTTCAAAGGCGTGTTTGAATGAAACCTCTTCAAATTCACCAGCAGATATCAATGTGACAACAGCGCAATACAGTAGGCTATAAACCCCAAAATATAAGTGTAAGATATCTTCCAAAATAATGCCGACAAAATAATCATATGAGTTTAAAATACGTGTGTGTAAACGCTTGTTTTTACTCACAAACGCTCTTCCTGTCAACACTGCTGCTGCTTCTTCTGCGACTGTCTTGTCTGTGAGAGAGGCGTGTGACTCATACTCGTGTATATAAGCGCCCCCTGTTGGATGAGCTCCAACATTCATTCATTTAATATAATATAATATAATATAATATAATATAATATAATATAATATAATATAATATAATATAATATAATATAATATAATATAATATAATATAATATAATATAATATAATATAAATATAATATAAATACGTATAAATAAATACGTAAAAAGGCAGTTTTGCAGAAATGTTCTTAAATATAAATATAAAAAACGAGGGAAAGATCGTATGGACTTGCAAATATTTTAATTTTATGATCCTAGTGTATTAATATAATACATATAAACATAATTTCTGTAAATTTAGAGTAAAATTCTCGTACCACTGGTGTTTTGTACATTAAATTTAACAAAAACAAAAATGTCCCAGTGGCTGTTCTGCATTACAAACAAATGAATGACGGAATTAAAGGTATTTAAAATAAATAAATAAATAAAAACTGAACTCGTGAATAGCACATTTCATCGTATTTCATACATCTAATAACATATTCAGAAAAATGTTTCCAAAATGTGAACCTCTCTTCTTTCACATAATCACATTTTGGAAACATGGGATGATCAACCGTTGAGAGTCCGCTCCACTCAGAGGCTGCTCACGCGTCAGACCTTTCCGCTCGCCTGCAGGCGTTCTTGCTCTGCGCCTGTCATATGATCAGCTTCCCGTTTGTTTGTGTTCATGCAGCAAGCTAACCGCTTCCCACTATGAAACCTCCTCATCTGTATCCAAACTAAACATTTAATCCACACCGACCCCACCTCAATCACTCAAACAGATCCTAGGAAGTCAACATAGACAGATCAAAGGGATTTGAAGCTTAAAATATAGATTTATAATGTCGATGGAGTACGAGGAGCAGCTAGCCGGAAGCCTGGTGGACTCTTTCCCCAAAGATTTCGGCTACGGCGTGGAAAACATGGACATGATGCAGGAGAACATGGAAAACTCTCCCTCTGCAGACAATAAACCCAGAATCCTGCTGATGGGACTGAGGAGAAGCGGGAAGTCCTCCATCCAGAAGGTCAGATCCCATATGGACACAGCACTGCACTAACTAAAAAAGTACTATGGTAATGCCCTGGTTTTGGACAATAACACGATGACAATACCATGGTGTTCTTTGAAGTACATTACAATATAAAATGTATATAATTTCTTACAAAAACGTACGTTAACGTATTGTGGCAGTTCCAGTTTCCACATCAGATGGTAACGTTAATACTTTTGTACTTTGATGAGAATACCATGGTAAAGGTTCATAGTGCCTTATTTCTAAACTTACCATGGTATTCTTGGAAGTTACTTGGAGTACAACGGTATATTTCAATATCAATAATATTACCATAATCATCCATGTACCTTTTTACCCTCCTCACTGTACTTGATTATAAGGCCAGTATGTTTTTTTATGTCAGCATTACGTGTAAGTAAGTTTGTGAGAGCTATTTTTGTTCAATTTTGAAGTATTTGTTATTTATTATTATTAATAATAATTTAGTTATTTATTATTTATATATTTATTTTTCTAATACAGAAGAGACATTATTTCTATCATTATTTTTGAAACCTGTCATAATAAAACATGTTGGGTAACCTCTGAGAAGCCTATCTAAATTTGTGTCATGTAATATAACAATTTTCTATCCATACAGAAGAGGCATAGCCTTCACTTAAAAAAAAAATAAAAAATAAAAAACTTTTGCTGATATTTATTTACTCACCCCCATGTCATCCAAGATATTCATGTCTTTCTTTCTTCAGTTGAAAAGAAATGAAGGTTTTTGATGAAAACATTCCAGGATTTTTCATATAATGGACTTCAATGGGAACCAAATGGTTCAAGGTCCAAAAGACACTTTCAGTACAAACTGCAAACTGTTCAAAGGGCTTTAAATGATTCCAGACTATGAATAAATGCTTTGCAAATGTTGTATGTAAAACTATGCTTGCAAAATAATATTTCCTTTTATTATTAAGTAACATTTAATACTGCTTAAAATCTCTTGCCTCTGAAACGCATTTTCTGTGTTAGGAGGAACGAGCATTTTTGTCATTTGTGTATATTTAAGATGGTTTTATTACTGGGTGAAATATTGACAATATCAGAATCAGATTTGTTTTTTAACCAATATGTCCATATTGAGCTATGGCTTGATGTTTTGAATCTCAGGTGGTGTTTCATAAGATGTCTCCCAATGAGACGCTGTTCCTGGAGAGCACCAACAAGATCTACAAGGACGACATCTCCGGCAGTTCCTTCGTGAACTTTCACATATGGGACTTTCCAGGGCAGGTGGACTTTTTCGACCCGACCTTCGATTACGAGATGATTTTCAGGGGCACCGGCGCGCTGATCTTCGTCATCGATGCTCAGGTAACCCGACACCAGCAAAATATGAGATTGTCATTCAAGCTGCTTGCTTTAATTTTTCCTTGTTCAATTCCTGGCTGTCATTAACATGATGTATGGATGTGTTTCTACTCTCTCTGTAGGATGACTATGTTGAAGCATTAGGGCGGCTACATCTCACTGTGTCGCGGGCGTTCAGGGTGAACCCGGAGATCAATTTTGAGGTGTTTATACATAAGGTGGACGGGTTATCAGACGATCATAAGATAGAGACGCAGAGAGACATTCATCAGAGAGCTAATGATGATCTAGCTGACGCCAGTCTGGAAAAGCTTCACCTCAGGTTGGTTGTCCTGATGTACTGATCGATCAGTCTAATGACAGATACCGAGTGTTTGATAGGATTATGTTGTGCTTTAAGACAGGCTACTGAGATATCTCATCAAGTAATGCATCAGAGATTGTGTAATTAACAGTGTTGATTTTGTTAAATAAAACTCGAACTTAAAATGGTAACACTTTATTTCACTGTGTTATTTTTAAAGGAGTAGGCTAGTTCACTTTTGAAAAAACTTTTGCTGATAATTTACTCACCCCCATGTGATCCAAGATGTCCATGTCTTTCTTTCTTCAGTCGAAAAGAAATTAAGGTTTTTGATGAAAACATTCCAGGATTTTCTCCATATAATGGACTTCAATGGGAACCAAACGGTTCAAGGTCCAAAAGTCAGTTTCAGTGCAAACTGCAAACTGTTCAAAGGGCTTTAAACGATTCCAGACGATGAATAAGGGTCTTATCAAGCAAAACGATCACTCATTTAAAAAAAAAAAACAAAGTTTAAGTTTTATAAGCTCAAATGTTCGCCTTGCTCTGTTCTGTGACGCACGTTTGTGACTCTCCTGTTCGAACTCGTTCATCAAAATAAACAAATCTTTTTTCCGTGTCTCTTGGTTGATTCAACGAACGAATTGACTCGGAAAAAGATTTGTTCATTTTGATCAACGAGTTTGAAAAGGAGAGTCACGAACGCGCATCACAGAACAAAAGAAGGCGAGCATTTGCGCTTATAAAACTTTGTTATTATTTATTTATTAAATTAAGCGATCGTTTCGCTTGATAAGACCCTTATTCATCGTCTGAAATCGTTTAAAGCCCTTTGCACTGAAACTGTCTTTTGGACCTTGAACCGTTTACATTACATGGAGAAAAATGTTGGAATGTTTTCATCAAAAACCTTAATTTCTTTTCGACTGAAGAAAGAAAGACATTGATAGTGTTTTTTAAAACCATAAATTCAATATAATATTTACTCTCACTATTAGGCAAATTGCTTAAATTCATCCCCTTTTTGAAGCTAATTTCCTGACATTCCAAATGTAATTTTTGCATTATGAATGAATATGTAATATGAATATGTAATCTGTTAATAAGCGATATTTCTCTTTGTTTGTTTTCAGTTTCTATCTGACCAGCATCTATGATCACTCCATATTTGAGGCCTTCAGTAAAGTGGTCCAGAAACTCATCCCTCAACTTCCCACACTGGAAAACCTCCTCAACATATTCATCTCTGTATGTACACAGCTGCTTTCCTCATAATGTCTAATGTCCTAACCCTAATGACGTTCGGTCTAGATAAAACGTCTCTGCTCTAAATGCTTTTATTGGTGTTAATTGATGCACATAAGAGACGAATAACAGAAGTGATAAGTATATATTTGTAAATGCGTCATTCCCTCTCAGAATTCTGGGATTGAGAAAGCGTTCCTGTTCGACGTGGTCAGTAAGATCTACATCGCCACGGACAGCTCTCCGGTGGACATGCAGTCGTACGAGCTCTGCTGTGACATGATCGATGTCGTCATTGACGTCTCGTGTATTTATGGGTGAGAATCTGTGAACGTTACACAGCATTAAACGGATAAATATGTCCATCCTGAAGACACTAGCAAAATACCCACTAGCATTCAAAATCTTGGGGACGGTATGATGTTTTTAATGTTTTTGAAAGAAGTCGTGGTAACACTTTACAATAGAGTTAATAATAGTTAATGTATTAAATAACTTGAACTAACAATGAGCTAAACATGTTACAGTATTTATTCATCTTTGTTAATATAATATTAGTTAATACAAATCCAGTTGTTCATTGTTTGTTAATGTTAGTTCACAGCGTGTTACCTAATGTTAACAAATACAACCTTTGATTTTAATAACGTATTAGTAAATGTTGAAATTAATATTATCTAAGATTAATACATTCTGTAGAAGTGTTCATTCTTAGTTCATGTTAACTAATGAACCTTATTGTAAAGTGTTACCATATGCTCGTTTATTTAATCAAAAATACAGAAAAAAACTGTAATGTTAAATATTGTTGTTTTCTATTTGAATATATGTATTGTAGAAACCGTGGTACATTTTGTTTAGGATTCTTTGAAAGTTCAAACGAGCAGCATTTTTTTTGAAATTCAAATCTTTTGTAACATTATAAATGTCTTTACTGTCCCTTTTGTTCAATTTAATGCATCCTTGCTGAAAAAAAAAGTTTATGCCATTTTAAAATATATATATTATTATTTTGAACTTGTATCATTTTTAATGCTTGCTGACAGTGTAAGATATAAGATGATTGTTTTATTATATTGTATCGTTTTGTTTTGTAAATTTGTTGATTGTATAGTCTAAAAGACGACGGCAACGGTAACGCTTATGATAAAGAGTCTCTGGCCATCATAAAGTTGAACAACACCACAGTGCTTTACCTGAAGGAGGTCACCAAGTTCCTGGCTCTGGTCTGCATCCTGAGAGAGGAGAGCTTCGAGAGGAAAGGTACAGACCTGACCGCTCATTCGAGAGCATCAGACTTAGTTAAAGAGTCTTTCAGACTGCGGGTCATTTATTTGATTGATTTTACTTTACTTTCACATCCTAAATAAAGCAGGTAATGGACAAAAAAATGAGACCCTGCGTTCGCTCGTGAAATGTTTTCGTTCCTGTGAGAAACTTTGCGATCGTTATTGAGTTTTTGCGAGAAGGGGGGGGGGGTGCAAATATTTCTGCAGTGGAACGCAAAAGTTTTGCAAGCGAACGTAAAATTCTTGGGGAACGCAAATGTTTTGCGAATAAACGTTAAGTTTCTTGTGGGAACACAAAAGTTTTCTCACGGGAGAGCAGATGTTTTGCCAGCGAAGACATTTTTTTGGGGGGTGGCGCAAAAGTTTTGCAATTGATTGTAAAGTCTCTTAGGGAACGCAACAGTTTTACAAGCGAAAGCAAAGTTTCTCACAGGAACACAAAAGTTTTACAAACGAACGTAAAGTTTCTCAGAGAAACTTGAATGTTTTGCGAGTAAACTAATTTTTTGGGGGGTAACGCAAAAGTTTTGCGATTAAATGTAAAGTCTTTTGGCGAATGCAAAAGTTTTGCAAGCGAAAGCGAACTTTCTTACGGGAACGCAAAAGTTTTGCAAACAAACGTAAAGTTTCTTGGTTGAACGCAAAAGTTTTTCAAGCGAAAGCAAAGTTTCTCAGTGCCACGTGATTGTTTTGCGAGTAAACGTAATGTTTCTTAGGCGAACTCAAAAGTTTTCTCGGGGGAACGCAAAAGTTTTGCGAGCGAACGTAAAATTTCTTGGGAGTGCAAAAGTTTTGCGAATGAAAGCGAAGTTTCTGAGAGATACGTAAATGTTTTGCGAATAAACGTAAAGTTATTTGGGGGAACACAAAAGTTTTCTCTTGGGAAAGCAGATGTTTTGCGAGCGAACAAAAATGTTTTTGGGGGAACGCAAATGTTTTGCGATTGTATTTAAAGTCTCTTGGGGAACACAAAAGTTTTGCAAGCGAAAGCAAACGTTCTCATAGGAACGTGATTTGTTTTGCGAGTAAGTCTACATTTTTTGGGGGGAACGTAAAAGTTTTCTCAGGGGGAACGCAGAGGTTTTTCAAGAAAATGGAAATGTTTTGCGAGTAAACGTAAAGGTTTTTGGCTGAACACAAAAGTTTTTTCGGGTGAACACAAAAGTTCTCCGAACGAATTTAAAGTTTTTTGGGTAAAGCAAAAGTTTTGCAAACGAAAGCAAAGTTTCTGAGAGAAACGTGAATGTTTTGCGAGTAAACGTAACGTTTCTTGGGGGAATACAAAAGTTTTGCGAACGAAAGTAAAGTTTCTCAGGGAACAAAAAAATGTTGTGAGCAAAAGTTTTGAAATATATTTTTTTTTCCACTGCCTTGTCGCTTTATGAGCTCCGTATTGTTTCTTACATAAAGATGTCTCTGCATATTAAATTCTATAGTGTGTTAATTATAATATGCGATACATATCTCATGCCTCTGTCTTCCGCAGGTTTGATAGACTACAACTTCCACTGCTTTCGAAAGGCCATCCACGAGGTATTCGAGGTGAGCAGCTCCACCCAGAGGACGGGAGTGGCGGTGCAGTCCAGCCCCCCCAGCAGCAGCGGTAACGGCCTGTCCCGGCTCAAATCAGCAGCGCTCAACGGTACACCTAGGAGCCTGGTTTAACCTAGGACACACGGACCTCTGAGAACACAGGCCTTCACACTAGTGCGCTGAACATGCGCTAAGGTACACGTGAGATTACTGGAGCGTTTCTCTAGCTATACCTGCAGTTCCAGGACCTGAGAGACACAACAGGACACTCATACAGGAGAGACTACATTGCTGCTTTTTATGATATTTTGGTGTGTGTGTGTGTGTGTGTGTGTGTGAGAGAGAGAGAGAGAGAGAGATTGTGTGCAAACACAACATCAGCTGTTGTAATAGAAGGGAAATGGAAAACTTTAGTTTAGCCAACAGAATGAGACGCAATGAAATGGTGTTACACTGAGCAAATCTAGACTCAAAACTAGTGAGCTGCCTATAATTTTTTTAATCCTTATGTGTTTAAGGTGGCTAAAAGTGCTGTCTAGGTGTGGCAATCCACTTTTCAGTGGTTTGCGTGTGAATCTCAAACATGTTCAAGTGATATTTCACCAAAAAATCTAAATGAGAAAATTGCTTATGTAAAATTTAGCCGGTTTGTAGCTGCATTAAGATGTTTACATTGTTTTTAACAAAACACATTTTACCCAAATTCTCATAATTGCTGAAAGGTAACTTTTTTTTGTAATTCTCAGTTTTTCATTACTTTAATGCAGTATTTTTATTATAATAAATACTGTATTATATAAATCAGTATAAATTTGTACGATAAATTTATTTGCCATTCAAAATAATATATTTTTCACATTTTTAATGAGAATATAGTTGTTGTTTTTTTACAGTATTAAGAATTTGGTTAAAATGGTGCTTTCATTAAAATATTGTCACAATGTAACGACTAGATTAGAAATAGGCTTCATTTTCTTTAAGCAATATCTTTCCTATTTCATTCTTTTGATTTGGGGTGAAAAATGACCTGGACATGTTAGATTCACCCATGAAACAGATCTGTTAATGCAGTTTCACTCCCTTTTGTAGCAAAATTCCCAGACCTTTAAGATTGCGGTTGTTAATATTGGCCAGTCCTGTGATTGTGTTGGCTGTCGCTGTTATTTACTCCTGACCTACACAAAGGGAAAGACGTTTTCGAACGTCATCATGTTTCTGTGAACCTACAGCAAAATGAATCACATACAGAGACTTTTATAAGCATCTGCCCAGACCAACAGGAAGAGTGTGTTTTGCCATTAAAGGGTTTTTCCACAGTTGTGATATACTGAGATATGTGGGGAATAATAATGCTCAAGTTTGTTGAATATGAGATAAAGGTATTATGTTTTCAAATGACAAGTCCCAGGGTCCAAAATAACCCTTTTTTACATGATTCATTGTTTTAGTCATGTTCAAAAATTCCCCTTTCTTGAAATGATATAATGTGGGCTGTGTGTGTCTATGTAAATGTGTACAAGAAACTCACTGCTGAATGTGATTGTAGAATGAGTGTATGTTATTTTTTTTTCTAATAAAGTGTAAAAGAATAAGATATTAATTTTGTGATTGAATTATAAAGATTATTACTTGTAAAATATCAGGAAAATGATATTTGTTTACTTATGGTATATTTTGTCTCAGAGCACGCTGATAAATTAAAGCTATATTCATTTGAGCCCTGGTCTGAGTCGTACGTGTGTGGGTGTGTGTCACCTCTAGATGTCGCTGTCCGTTGAATTCGACAAATTGAAACAAATAAGTGAAACTAATTTGAATATAATTCTGAGGGAAAACAACAGTAGATAATGAATTTAGAGTCAATACTGTTTGTTTTTAATACATTAATTTAATTTTTGTTAATGTAGAACTAAACTTTTGTGAACTCGTTAACAAAATGTATTGTCCATGAGTAAAATGTCTAAGTGGCGAGTGTGTGGGGGTTTTCCGTAAAGTTATTAAATTTCAGAAAGACATTCCATGTTTCCATGTTGGACAGGGTGAAGAATCAACTTAAAGCTGTTGAAGGTTTAAATATCGTGGTGTGTGTCAGATGTGGGAGGGCTGAGGGTGGAAATGTCTCGCCCAGTGGGAGGATCAGTTGTGTGTGTGTGTGTGTGTGTGTGTGTGTGTGTGTGTGTGTTTCATGGGAAAAACTGCAGTAACACCACTGTGTGTGTCACAGACAGACTTAATAGGCTGTGCACAGGGACAGATCAGCTGGACACTTCAATACCACGGTAAGATGTCAAATAATTACGGTAGACACTATTAATTAAAAAAAACAGAATTATTCAGTTTTATAAGCTGAATAATAATAATATTGTCTTTTCATAACGTTTTCTGTTCAGCAACTCTTTTTGCTGTTTTCCTGATTTATCAGTTTCTATGGAAACTCGGATGTGATTTGTGTATTTAATTAGTCCCAGGAACCCGTGTGTGTTTATATTTTATTCATTTCTATTCTTAATAGTTTGTATTATTTATTAGTTGATGATAATCATTTTAAGTTCAGTATATTTTGTTATGTTACTGTTTGTTGTATTAGTATGTAGTAAACATTTTAAATTATATAAAAAAATAGAATTACTATTAATTTCATTAATGATTTGTTTAATATTAGAGAGGGGGAGCAGTTGTCGCTGTTGTCGTGCTGTTCAGTTCAGCTGTGGTACAGTCATTTGGAATAGACTCAAAGTAGTACAGTTTACAATTTTTATAAAACAATGACAGTTTCGTGTGTGTGTGTGTGTGTGTGTGTGTGTGTGTGTGTGTGTGTGTGCACCCCAGGGGTTCGGCGACAAAGGCCGCTTGAAAAGTGAGTTATTTTGTCCAGAATGCAGGCAGTTCTCTCTCTCACACACACACATACACACAGTGTAAATCCATGTGTTTCTGTTTCTCACCAGTACTAAGATGGAATTGGCCCACTCCTCTCTATTCCCTAGTGTCTTTTGTCTTTTACAGATTTCCTTTTAAGTAGGCTACTTATAAAAAGCACTGTGGTAATGGCATGTTGTATTTACATGATACTAAATGATTTTACCAAGGTACATAGTACTTCTATACCCATAAAATGCTTTTTAAACATTCATGAATCAATGAAGCTGCTTTAAAACAATAGAGATTCCTCTGAGATGGCAGAAATATTTCGCAGATTGTAGTCACTGGAGTTGAATGAGGGGAATTGTGGTGCTCATTCCTGGTGCACATAAATTTAAGGGATGAAGTTTTGTGGACACTCGCTGTTGCTGAGTAAGATAGATGGAGCGCGAGTTTTAAGATTTCTATACTGTCTCTGATGAATAGAAAAGAGCTTCCACCACATAAATTCCACCATAAATTAATCACACTATCATGCAGATGAATGATAAAAGAACTACCCAAAAACTCAAAGAATGGACTCTACAATAGGTCCTTATGAAGTCTTTTTGAAGGTTGGGATTTCTTAGGACCAACTTTAAGGCATGCATAAGCTAAAAACACCACTAAAGTGAAAACAATTTTTATATATAAAAATCGAACTCAAAATATTAACAAAAATTAAAATAGTATTTTTATGATACTGGTCGTTTGATAATGACATTTATTGTAGTTATGCTATTAGCCAATGAATAAAAATCAGACAAATATGTTGTTATTGCAATACAATATTTCAATGTAATTTTAATTTAATGTAGCATACTACACTCAAGGAAATTGGGTCAATTTTAATTTCACATTGACTTTATGCACCTTTTTCTTTTGCAATCCCAGACAGATAAAAATGTAACGTGATATGTAATTTAATAGACATTAACATAACATAATTAAGACAATACATGCGAAAGACATTTACTATAACTTTTAATTGGCTACACAATCAAGTGCATAAAGTTTTGTCTACCAATAGAATCGCTTTGGTGTCTAAGTGTAAATTGTCTATTTTTAATGGCACAGTTTTTTTAATAGTTAATCTATCACCAATTTGAGTACAGAGGTGCATTACCAAAAGACACACATTAAGTATGTACTATGGGACCACGTGCATGCAATCGCCATTTGTTTGCTTGTGTAGAATATCTGACCTTATACTGCTACATACTGAAACACGAACTTTGACCTCTCTTTAAAAAGCCGCCTCATTTATTTTCATTGTAATGGCAGGCGTGGATGGAACATGGCATTATGGGAAGGCGCCAGTATAGGTAAGCGTGATGCTTGTTTATAGAGCAGGGTAAATATGGCTTGTAAAAGAGTAATTAAGACTAACTTCTGCATTCATTCTCTATCCGCAAGCTAACTGTGGTGTCTGTCCACACATCGCTTTTTCCACCATCTAAGTGTATGATGTCAACCAGCAATTTACAGACATAGAGCGAATTTGGCACCAAACTTTATATTTCCACTCACATCCAGCAAGCACGTCGTTATAAGGTCTGATCGGATGGGTGTATGTGGAGGTGGGGGGGCTGTGACCACATAATGTTTTTAGTTGGCCCAAAAACTGGAATGCTGTGCGTAATCTTTCTCCGTGAGTAAATGGCAGAAATGTTGGTCTTCTAAGAACGCCGTCTGGTTTTTCTCAGCCTGAAGAGTGGAATGTGCCATTTTTAGGAAGAAAAATGCCTTTGTTTGCCCTTTTGGTAACCATGACATTCTTTCCAACCATGGCCCTGACCACAGTGGCATTCCCACAGGGTGGTACAGGACAGAGACAATAGCTGGACACATGCCAGTGAAGAACACTAGGCTTACAGACAAATGAGACAGCTTTTAAATGGGTCGTGACATGAGACATCATATTTGCCTTGATCTTTTGACATATACGAGGTCTTTAAACCATTAAAACATCCCGCAAGTTTCATAGCGTAAAGGAGAACTCCATTGCAAAATGAACCTTTGGTCTATTAACACATTGGTACCTAGTCGATTTGTTTTCATGATAATCGAATGTAAAGAGTTTTATCTCTAAAAACTGTTTAGCATATAATGCTAGTATATGGGGGCATATAATAAGTGAAAAGAAATCGCTAGTTAATACCACTAACAAGGCTCAAAATAGCCCCACACTAGCACAGTAACATCATGAGGGTCCCTACATGCAAAACGAAGCATTGAGAACTTTGTACGTGACCGTTTAATAAGAAGATCTTTTATAAAGACAGTCCACTTCGTGTATACAGGCAGGAGCCATCTTTGGAAAACAGACTCGATAAGTCGAACAACGAACGCCGTTCATACAGTTCAGCTCACTTGGCACGTCATTCGTAGTTCAACTTATCAAGACTGTTTAGGGACCCTCATTATGTTACCGTGTTAGTGTTGGGCTATTTTGAGGCTTGTTAGTGGTATTAACTTGCGATTACTTTTTACTTCTTATATGCCCCCATATACTGGCGTTATACGCTAAACCGTTTTTAGAGATAAAACTCTTTATATTCGATTTTCATGAAAACAAATCTCAGAGAACGGTCGACTAGGTACCAATGTTTTAATAGACCAAAGGTTCATTTTGCGCCGGAGTTGTCCTTTAAAACGTCCTTCCCGTTATAAACAAAGCTCTTATTTAAGCAAGCCCAAAAAACAGAGACGTCTGCTTTCCAGTCGCTCTCGCTATTTTGAAGTCATGCACCGATTGGTCCGCTTCAAGTCGAACACACCTATTGTCGAATCTGTGACGTGACACGGGCCTTTTCTGTAAATTGCGCTTTTATACGGATAATGTTTTTAAAACACTCACTCGTGTTCAATAGCGAGTGGGCTTTGGTACTGTCATCTATGCTGTGACATTAGCCAATCATAACAGTGGCTGTTTACTGACAGGTCTTAAAGGAGCCGCCCCTTAAAAACTGATCATTTCAGACACGGGTTAGAATGAAGGTAGAAAATAGTTGTTTTTTCGCATAAATATTTGTTATATGTGTGTGCAAAAAAACTTTATTAACATTATATTTGAACCTCAAGGAACATTTTTAAAAAAAAATCTATGTCATGACCCCTTTAGTTACATTAATTTTGTTGTTGTTGAATTCATCTTAAATATTTTAAGTAAATGTATTTACTGAATTTAAAATGTTAGGTTGGCTTGATTTAAATTTTGTAATAATTCTTAAATTATTAAGTCATATTGTATCTTCTTTTGTAAAAAAAAATCTGAATAGTTCTGTGAATTTGTTTGTTTATTTGTCATGAAAGTGTTCAAAACAATCTGATGTCATGTGAGAAGTTTAATGTAAGAAATACTTTCCCATCCTACACTCACTGCCACGATTCTAGGGTGTTCTGAGGGGTTGCCAGGGTGTTGCTAAGGTATTGGGTGGTAGCTATACCCAGAGTTATTTTGTTAGATACTATTAGTATTCATTAATTTTTTAATTATTATTTTTTTTAGTTTAAGTTTTAGTGATTTAATCATTTTTTTGTATTACTATTTTTTTAGTTTTAGCATTTTTCAGTCTAAACTAATTTTATTTCAGTTAGTTGCCAAGGCAATATCTCTAATCCTCATTTAAGTTTTCTTAACTTTAATCTCATTTTTATAATTTAATTTTAGATAACAACCTACAATTGAGATGGTGTTTAGGTGTTTAGTTGTTATCATGTTGCTATGCCAGGGCTAATGTAATCTGAGTGGTTGCCAGGGTGTTGCTATGGTGTTGCTATGTTGACTAAGTGGCTGTTTTTGATTAAATATTGCTATGCATATTGCATATGATGATTCCTTTGAATATTTTGTGGTTGTTGAAGAATGTGCGAAATCATTCGTTTTAAGGTCAAAAACCTGTTGAATTATAAGTCCATTATATTCAGCATATAGTTGTTTTACCAATCAAATGTAGTGATTCTGGACCAGGTTTATTGTCTCAGTGTAGATAGAAGAGAAAATTTTGTGAGGGAATGCCTAAAGACTGGATAAGGAAAGCAATGTAATCCCTTCTTCTCACATAATAAAACCTGCTGGCGTATAGATATGTTTAATAAGCATCAAATGATGACTGTGCTGTTTGCTAAACATCTGAAGCTGGCTCTAACATGTCCCGTGGCAGGAAGACACATTGTTCATACGAATAAACAGCCCTCCCAAGATCTCAACCAAGATATTAGATTCAGAACTAAACATCTTTTTCATAACCCAAATTGGTATTTATTCTTCAGACTGGAATTTGCACTTTAAGTTTTGCTTTGCTTCATTTCACAGAATTCTTCGTTTTGCATGTCTCATGTTATTCATTCAGAATTTTTCTCAATTTCTCAAAGT